AATTACATTTAGAGCCCAGCCCGGCGCGGTGGCCGGGTGCCCGGCTTTCACTTGCTGTGCTTATTCGTTTTACAAACCTGAACTGCAGCCTATAAAAATGGGGAAAGGGGCTCCAGACCAGCTCTTTTCGTGCCTGATCCTGCTGTTTTATCCACTGGGCTACAGTCCTTTGGCTTGCACACACGTGTGCTCACCATCGTGCCCGTGTGTCCTGTGTGGTCACTGCTCGGAGCAGCTCCCGACGTGCCGCTTCCTTCTGCCAAGGCTGGGGGTGCCCTGGTGTCTGCCCCAACTCTCCAGAGGACAGGCTGAGCCAGAATTCCCTAGTCATCAGAAACACTTGGAAAATTCTTGAATTATCCTTGAACAATTATTTTTGTGATTCTCTTCCAGTGGTTTCTGCTGCACATTAACCTGACGAGCTAAATTGTAAACCAGCTCTGTGACAGGGGCTCGAAACTCCAACCAGTGAGTCAGAACAGGCGTTGGAAGAGACACGGGCTATCTCAGCTTGTCAAAATAAACATTTGGGTTGAGCCCAGAGCGTGCCACTCTCTGAAAGCTCATCATTTAAAACAAGACTTTTTTTGTTGTTTGACTTTTCACCGGTCGTAAAGCTGAGTGTGTGTAGCATAGGTACAGGGCGGCACAACTTTACAGCAATATGGTTGCAGTGACGCTTTTTGGGTATGGAATTTTTTTTTTTCTGAAAATATTTCAGGCTGTTTCTATTTATAAACTTCGGGAAGAGCTTGGGCTGCCTGTTGGCCGATCGTCCCTGTACGCTGCTACCCTGCTGCCGGGCCATTGGCTCCGTGGGGTTATCCTGGCTGGATCTGCTGATGTTTCCCTTGCAGGGAGGATGAGTGGCTGTTTCTAGAGAGCAGAGGAAGCCAGCAGAGCCCTGACACCCCCTCTTGGGATGCAATGAAATCCCCTTATTGTCCATGGGCGTTAGTGGGAGCGCGGAGGGGCCGGGCAGGGGGAGCGCGGGGAAGGCAGAGCTCAGCGCCGGCCGCCTTCCCGCAGCGCGAGCGGAGCACGGCTTACGGAAAAGCAAATTCCTGATGCTTTGTACACCCGGAGCCCATCTGGCACCAGCTGTGGCGTGGGCAGAGGCTGCGGGAGTGGTGGCCATGGTGCAGGTTCCTGGGATTGAGAGCTCTGCGGGATGCGGCTCAGTGCAGGAGCTGCTGAAAATGCACTTTTCCTCTCTCCTTCTGTCCCTACGACTTTAGCAGGAGATAATCTGAAGTGGTATATATTTTTTTTTTTAAATGCTCTCATTTACCTAAAATTCTAACTCAGAGCTCCGAGCTTTTTGTTTTTGATTTCCACCAGGAGCTCGTGGTAGGACCTTGGGAGAAATACCCGTGGCTCTGTCCCTGCACGTCCCTGTCTCTGAACACCCAAAATTGCTGTGCTTTCCTGATGGGGACCATGTACCACAGCTGAATGTCAGAGCCCTAATAAACCCCGGTCTGTTTTTGTTCTGGGTGTTCCCTGATATGCATCACAGCTTGGTCACAGAGAACCGAATCTCTGCAGGAGAGAGGAGGAGAAACAAGGCAGGATTATTCCCAGTTTGAAAAAGAAAATAAGAGTGCACCATGAGAGGTAAGGACCAGGCTTTCCACCTACACCTGACTGATATAGGAACAGGGCGGGGGTGTTTGTGATGTGGGCAGGTTTGTAAATCCCACCTGAAGCACTTTGCCTCCAGCCTCCTCTGTGCTCCTGGCTTGGCCGAGCTTGGGGAGGGGCAACCAAGGGCTGCTGTGTCCTCAGGGACATCTGGTGAACGGGGCCATGGAGGTGACAAGTATTTATTGGCCTCTATTTCATATATGAAGTGGTTCATAAAACACCTAAGGAGTAAGATTTAGCATCATTTTGTGATTGAACTTTCCACATCTGAAAACCAAATAGACTTGCTTGTTAGTAGGACCATGTTCTGCCTCTGCTGCCCTCCACAGCAGCCACTTGTCCTTGCCTGTTTTGAGGGCAGCTGAGTCTCTCCTTAGCATTGCTGCGTCCACCATGCACGGGGGGCTCTCAAACTCTAAGCATGGATATCTTGAGCAAAAGCCTGGTTGCAGGGTGGCTGCTCCATCTCTCCGTTCTTCTTTCCCTCTTGCCTGCAGGCTGCTGTTCAGGGCTTGCTACAGAACGGTTTAAAATATGCTGTAATATGGAAGGTTGCCCCTTGGCGATGGACTTCCTGATCTGATTTGTTTCCAAGATCTATTTGAATGCATCTTCCTTTTCTGCATGATTTTTTTTCTTGGATTTTCTGCTTTGAAGTTTCCTTTGGAGAGACATCTTCCCCAGTAGGTTCAGTCTGATCCCTCCAGCCATTTCTACCAACCTTGTGACTTTGTGTTTGAGGTGCAAGACTTGAGTGGTTAATGGGTTTTGGGCAGAAAGCTGAGACTGGAAAGATCTTCAGTGAGGTCTTGTTCTGCTGTGTGCTATCTTGGTCATTGGTCAGTGCTGCAGAAAATGAGAACTGCTGATTCCCTCCCCCTCTTTTTTTTTTCTTTCCCACTGTGTTTCTCAGTGTAATACTGACCTTCTGCAGCTCCTCCTTCATCAGTGCAATCACATCCTATGCTCAAGTATAGAAATAAAGGCATAAAAGCTAGAAATGATGGACGTCATCTGTACATCTTGCCTGAGTAGTTTGAATCTTGATGCAGAGTAGCTGCCTGGTGTGGCACTGCTGTCCCTTAGTGCTGCCTGGCCCTCCATGGCCATAGCAAAGCCATCACTGATCCCAGCCATGGTCTTTGGCTCCAAAGTGCGTCCTTGGTGTCACCAAAGGCATCCTCCTTTCTAACTCTTCCCAGAGAGAGAAGAAGCAGGAGGTAACTGACTGCACTCTCATGATGTCTTTTTTGGGTTTCAGAGTACACCCTGTTCTCGGCCACGCTGGGTCTGCCCAGCCACCTCATCCAGTGCCATCGCCCACAGCCTGCCTACGTCACTTACACGGCACCCATGGTCAAGATGCTTGTTGAGCAAGATGAGCAGAGAAAGGCTGCATCCAACCGCTCGGCAGAGACGGAGCCCAACAGAAAGCCTCAAGAAGATGGTTTTGAGGAGGAAACCCAAGTTTTGTCAAAGCTGGGCAGAGGTAGCAGCACCCCTGGGACTGGGAAGGACTCTGTAGGAGTTTCCACAGCTGAGAGCAGTTTGCCATCACCAAGTATTCGCAATAGGGTTGTTTTTGCAAGAAAACCTCCTTTGCATGTGCTACTGTGTAGCTCCCTGGCACGTTCCAGCAAGAAGAAATGATCTGTCCCCAGCTAGAATCAAAGAAAACAAAAAATGACACACTCAAGTGTTTCCCAGAGTGCATTAAACTACTAAATGCAAATAGCACTTAACTTCTTGACTCTTTTCCTAAAATTCACAAAAGGTGGTGGCTCTGCATTTTGCACTTGTCTGCTCTCAGGTCTGCAGAAAACCATAACCACCTCCCATTGAGCTTCCTTGACGTGCATTGCTAGCTGTTTGCTGCTTTGCTTCTTGGACATGTCCCACAAAGGGTGCAGTGCAGGGGCATGGTATGGAGATGCAGATGCCTGCACGCCCACGCAGCCCGGCGCACACACAGGGCTCAGTTCTCTGCCCTCCTTGTCTTATGACCCCGCTGGCATCGGTGCCAAGTGCCAGCAGCCATTGCGGGGATTTGGCTGAGGGTAATGGATTTTGGGGACTCTCTGTCCTTCTGCGTCCACTTGAGATGTTGGGTGACAGGAGAAGTGCACTGAGAGTTGGTGTCCCCTCTTCCTGAAGCCATGTGTTGCTGAAGGAGCGTGGGCTAGATGGAAGGGAGGGGAGCTTGTAGTTTGCTCCCTTTTGCCCTGGGCTGTCTGTCCTTAGGGTGTGAGGTCTGTTCAAGCTGGGTTTACTGGACTCTGTGTAGAGTATGTAACTATGCATGTGATGCTTTCATGCACACAACTCAATTAAAATAAAAGCCGTGCAGCAGCAGAGCTGAACAGTCAGCTGGTAAATCTGCTGCTCCTTTCTCATTTTTACGGACAGCAGAAATGCACAGCTCAAAATTGCTGGGGGAAGATGTGATTTTATTATTTTTTTTTTTGCAATTCCTTTAGCCTTATGATATAATAGAAAGTGTATACTTAGAGTCTCCAGCTGCTGGTGCATGCCAGATTTCTTAAAACCATTTGCAAAGACATCACCTCATTATTCTTTGGCTACACAGGTAGAGTTTAGTTTTCTAGGACCACCTCATGGCCACCTTCATTCAGACCTTCCAGATTGTGCAGTGGAGCCTGCAGGCACCTCTGACGGTGTGCCCATCTCCATTAGAAAAGGTCCATCCTGTGCATTGAGCAAGGCAGGGTTTAATTTGAGAAAAATGTTTTTTTTGGTGATCCCAGCCTGTGTACCTGAGAGGTGGCTGCTTCATCATGAGCAGTGGCATGGAGAGCATCCATGGCAGTGTGGATGGAGAAGCACCTAAAAGGGAACAGGAGGGTCTGGAGAGGTGGGATGGAGGGTGTCTGGTTTAGCCGTGTGTGCTGGTACCCCCAGTGCATTTATCTGCTGGGGCTGTGCACCCTCACATTTCTCTGGAGTTTCTGACTCTGATGAATATGGTTGGGATTTTTTTTCATGAAGAAAACAAGACTCCCCTTTCTGCAGGGGGATTTCAGATTCCACTTCTGCAGAGACTGAACCTGTTGTCAGATCATTTCAACATTTAATATACTTGGGGGGTGCTGGTTGATGAAAAGCTCAACAGGAGCTGTGCGCTGGCAGCCCAGAAAGCCAACCATGTCCTGGGCTGCATCCAAAGCAGCGTGGGCAGCAGGTCGAGGGAGGGGATTCTGCCCCTCTGCTCTGCTCTCGTGAGACCCCCCCTGCAGTGCTGCATGCAGTGCTGCGTTCAGCTCTGGGGTCCCCAACATCAGAAGGACATGGAGCTGCTGGAGCAGGTCCAGAGGAGGCCACAAAGATGATCCGAGGGCTGGAGCACCTCTGCTATGGAGACAGGCTGAGAGTTGTTGAACAACAGGGTTGTTCAGCCTGGAGAAGAGAAGGCTCCGGGGAGACCTTCCAGTGCCTAAAGAGGCTACAGGAAAGCTGGAGAGGGGCTTTGGACAAGGGGGGGTAGTGACAGGACAAGGGGCAATGGATTTAAACTGAAAGAGGGGAGATTTCAATTAGATCTAAGGAAGGAATTTTTTCCAATGAAGGTGGTGAGGCACTGGCACAGGTTGCCCGGGAATCTGTGGCTGCCCCATCCCTGGGAGTGTTCAAGGCCAGGTTGGATGAGGCTTTGAGCAACCTGGTGTAGTGGAAGGTGTCCCTGCCCATGGCAGGGGGGTTGGAATGAGATGATCTTGAAGGTCCCTTCCAACCCAAATGATTCTCTGATTTGAAACAGTGTTTTCCTTGTGATGGTGGAAAAAAAAAATTGTCAATTTTTTTTCCGTCAAAATTAAATTTGCTTGAGGGAGCCATTTGCCCTGGAAGACTTTTGCTATAGTTATAAACAACTGATCTAATGATCAGGAGTGTTTGCTGCTGTGTCTAGTGTGCTGTTCCCCACTGCTGCTGTTGGCTCCTGTGTTTTTGGCTGAGATCGGTGCCACTCATCAGCTGAATGCTTTGGGAAACGGTGTTGGGCCTCTGCGGGGAAAAAAAATGTAAAGCATTAGAAAATGCAAGAAAAAAAGAGGAATTACTGCTTTCTGTGGATATACAAATAAATTTATTCCCTACCCTACTTTGAGCCCCGGGTTACTCTCACCCCTCGTGCCAGCGCGTGCACGGATGCGGCACGTCGTGAGCCCTGTGTTCAGCGGCGTGTCCCTCCTGCCAATCCGTGTCTTTGGTCAGGAGCCACGGAACTGGGAAGAAATAAATAAACCTTAGTTTCCAGCTCTTCCCTCCGACTTTTCTCTTTGTAGCGAGGGATACTGGAAAAGGGATGCAGTGATGTCATCCTTGCTGACGCAATGACTACTGAACTGGTGGTGAGCCCCGGCTGGGGCTGTGTCTTTCCTGATTGTGGCTGGGGGGGGTCACCGTCCCCCTGCACCCCCTTTGGCATCCAGCCTCCTGTGCGGGGGGCACCATCTGTCAGAAGGGTTGATGGCTTCGATTTAAGAGCATCGATGTCTGTGGTTGGCACGAGGATGGTGTCGCATGGGGGTGCTGAAGCAAGTGGAAGAGGTGTAAGATGTGCTGTGAACCACTGCTCAAGCTCCTTGGGCTTACTGGTTTGCTCTGCAATCGTGTATTCCCAGCAAAGGACGGGATACGGCACTGATTCCTCTCTGGGTTCACTGTAGGCTGGCTCTGCCTGCAGAGGATGCTGAAGCAGGTGTGGGTTCTAAGTGCTTTGCACAGCTTGGAGAGGGCGAGAAGGAAAACACCCACCTTCCTTCTCCTGGCAGCACCAGCGCTTTACCGGAGCTGGGATCTTGTTCGTGTCTCTGTGTTAAACCATTGTCACTATTACACCTCCTCCCTTGGAACGGCCTTCTCCTTCTGCGGGCGAATGACCAGAGTCATTTATAGGCAGTTCTGTGGTGAGAAACGGTACAGAAAGAGGTTGAAATCATCCCTAGAGAGCCAGAAATGGTAGCTGAGGTGACTGAGAAAACATTTTTGTTATTGTTTCGCATGTGCGAGTGTTCGCACGCGTGATCAGATGTGTTAAGGGTTCACTGGGGGAAGGTGTCCCAGGGCATCCCATCAACAGTGACCTTCTGGGTGGAGAACCCTGTCTCATGGCCAGGTCGAGGACTGACGGAGGTGGTGTGGGCTGCTCTTTGCTCTCCTGTTTTCCTCTTTGGGTACATCAACTGTGTTTCTGTCTCAGTTTCTCTATCTCCATGGCAGGGACAGTACTAAGTGCTTGGATTGGATTGTGCACGTGCGTTGGAGTTGGGGCACGTTAAAGCCGCCTATAAAACACTCTGGCAGTACAGCTTTCTGCAGCAAGATGGCCAGAGGTGTAAAAGCTTCAAGGAATTGAATGACTTTATTATTAAAAATAGTTGAAAATACATCGTGTCTTTAGAGAAGGTTGAAGTGCTGCTTCTCCACAATGGATTAGAGCAAAACAGAAACAGGTGAAACCAGGCACTGTAAAAAGCACTTGAAGGGGAAAAATAAAAAAGGAGGAAAAAAACCCTAAAAGATAAAACCTCCAAAACCCAAATGTGCTGGTGTTGGTCATTCTTAAAATGAGTTTTTCAGTAATTTCATTTTATGGGAAATTTTGACTTTTCTGTTGTTGTCACTAATGATAAAAAGGACCTCTCCAGAGCTGCAAACTGGCAGAACGGTAATTCTATTTTGATTCTTAATGCCCACTGGCATTAATAAAATACTTTGAGGGCTCTGTTCAGCTCCAGTTGAAATCAACCACCGTTATTCGGGAGCCCTGAGGCACAGCAGTGCCTGGTGTCAGTGAGCCCAGGGCTGCTGTGGAGAGGGTGCAGGTGGCATTGGGGGCACCAAGAGGGCTCCCCACCTTGGTGAGTTCTGTACTCCAGACCTGCATCTGGTGAGGCTGAAACCCATAAGGTAACAGTGTCCTGGGCCCTGCCCTTGGGGTGCAGGAGACCTGGGTAGGAAAAAGTTTGCTGTGTGGTGCAGGCACAAGGATCCCAGCCCATGTGCAAAGAGCTAGAGCAGGGCAGCAGCGTAACGTTGGATGTGGCACAGGGAACATCGGGGATCTGAAGATGAGAGGAGATGTAGGGTGTCTCTTGGGGGTGGGGTGGATTTGACCCCCTCCCTGTCGCATCTGTCAACAGATGTGGCAGCACCTACTTTGTTATTATAATATACAACTGGGGGCCCAGAGCTAATTGCACCTCTAAATGACTTTTATTATGCTGTGGTTGCTCCTTGCCTGCTGTATTGAAACCAGATGCTCAGGTCATTAAATAGATATAAGCCAGGTGCTGACTGCCTTATTTAAGCAAAATAGGAATAGATTTCCTGCAGGAGTGAGTGTGCTCGTATATATGCCAGCACCCAGGAGTGGGACGAGAAGGCTGGGGACAATGGTGGCCCTTGTGGCTTGGGGACCTCTGGTGAGGCTTTTAGTGTTGCTTTGGGACTTGGCTGATGGATTGACTGGACATAAAGCTGCTGAGGGTTTTGGGGTGGTTACTGTGCTCCTGAGCGCGTCACCAGTGCTGTGTGTTTAGGACAGTGTCTCTGGATGAGACACCTGCCCTGCTGAAAGGCGCGTGGATCTGGCGGTGTGGCACACAGGTGCCAAACCCTCAGCAGTGTGTGGTGCTGATTCTGGGAGGATGCTGTGGTTTAGTCCCTAGATCAGCTCTATGGGGTGTCTCGGTGCCTCTAGCCCAATATTTTAACCTCACAAGCGGAGCTTTCCATTGCAGGATTTGTCACTGAGAATCTTTCATCTCGAAGTGCTTTACAGTGATCATGAGCACAGCAGGTAGAAACGAGAGTTGGTGAGC